TGTCAATATTCAAAGCTTTTAGTTTTAACTATAAGCACACTGCCCAAAGGTCACACACACACAACATAACCTGCTAGGACAGTTCCTCAGATGCCAAGAGTAAGGCATGCCTCCACTTTATCACCCATTTTTACCAGTCCCAATTAATCTTCATGGTGTTATATCTAATAAAATGTGACGTGATACATTTTAAAAAGGGATATCCAATTCTTGTCACTGGGGAAAATTTAGCTTTGTCCACGATTCAAATGAACACCTACGCTCTGACTTGTTTGCCTTTCCATTGTTAGTGATTTCCAGTTGGTGACAAGAGCCAGTTTGGTCTAGTGGTTAAGGCACCAGGCTAGAGTTGGGAGTTCTAATCCCATTTTAGGCATGAAAGCCAGCTGGGTGACTTTGGGCCAGTCACTCACTCAGCCCAACTCACCTCATAGGGTTGTTGTGAGGAAAATAGGAGGAGGGAGTAATAGGTGTTTGCCACCTTGATTTATTTATAAAGTGGGATTAAAAAAAAATACTGAATCATTAACCCACTTGTAAACAAATTGTATTTTCAGCCATATGTACAACAGAATGTTATAGACTTATGTACCTAAAGGGTTCAGGAAGTCCACCACAAAGGTTTCAAATATAAGATTAACTTTTATATTTAGAAGTGAGTTTCATTAAATTGAATAGGGTTTATTCCCATGGATGTGAGAGTAGTATGTAATTTCATAAATTCTAGACTTTGTATGTACAGCTATCAAAGTGGACAAAAATTTTGGATTTTTATATTTCATATAAGTTACCTACCTTCCCATTCTGAGTCTAGGAACAGGATTTGGATGTTTAATGTCTCAACATAATCAAGATGTTTAAAACATGACTGTACAGCAGGGAGAAGTTGGGTTATAAAACCAGTTTTGATTAGAATAGCTAACATTCAGAGGAAACTTTGAAGCTTTTATATGAGAAATTGGCGGTGTTGGAAGGCGATAGGAGCTTGTAAGATGTAAAACACTTTGAAGTTAACCTTTCTGTGAAACTGTGTCCTTTGCTCACTGCAATGTTGCTCAACAGCATTATGTAGTACAGTATTGACACAAAAGAATTTTCTAAATTTTTTGAAGGCTCCCATTCTTTATGCTATTAAGTTTTTTAGATTTTTCTTGTCATTTGGTTCGATTATTTTCTACTGGTGATAAGTTATTTATAAAGTCTCTCAAGTGAGATTTCTGGTGGACTACATGTCTATGTCTATGGTGTTACTTTGGTGACAATGTGGAAGTGGTTTATCACAGCCACTTCTGGATTTTTTCTTTCCAACTTCTCAGGCTAGTTCACAGCTTTGGGATATGCTGGTCCCTTTCAATGCTCCCTTGTCCAAAGGAGTTCAACATTTTTAAGTATATGGGAACATAAGTTTAATATCAGACAAGAAAAGGAACCTGGGCCTCTTTTTCAGTCAGTAGTGTCCAGAAAATACAAATACTACAAATAATCCTATGTTTATCCTTACCAAATTACTGCTCATAACCTAAATCAATACTTAAAAAAAATCAATCATTTCTACTGTGTTGGATAATGAATTGAGCTATAGCTATGGGAATCAATCTTCAAGTGTGACAGTATGTATATAAAGTTGCAGGGTTGTGTTTTCTTTTTAAATAAACACCCAATTTGCTCAGATTGCACTAAGGTTACTTTGCAACATCATTTTTTTAAAAAGAATCTCCTGTTCATTCAAAATCTGTTCATTTTGAACCTACTGAGTTTATTTCTAGCACAGTTCATGCTTTTAACTTGGATTTTTTTTCCAAATCCATTTTTCCTTAACTTCCTCTGATTTGCACACCTCTACCTTTCTCATCCAACCTTTCCTCAGGTCCTCACTGTGTCTGCATCTATCTCTGCCCCCTTTCAAATAAACTCTGGACTCTCTCTCTACTCATATCATATACCCATCATCTTCCTTCTTAGATTTTTTTCCAGTACTTCCTTTTTTAGAATACAGTTCTGTTGGAATAGGACCCTTAGGTAATTCCTTTTTTCTGTGACCATAATTTTCAAACACCTCATCTCTTCCTGTATCATTTTTCTATACCTTCAAAATTCTCAGAATTGCCATAGTTCTCTTCCCCATAATAATCTAGGTTTTTTCCTCTCAATTTTTTTCCAGCTGATATAAAAATCATACTTGTTACTATTATTTTCCACAAATATAGACAAGCTCTCACAATTCACTTCTGAACCATGCTAGCTGCCATGATGAATACTGAACATTGTCAGATGCTATTGGCCCAGCAATTTTCTATCTGTGGAGTATGCTCCAAATTATTAAAATTCAAAATTGGTTCTTTCAATTGCCAGTTTATGGTATCTGGCCTATCAATTTTTTTCTTTAACAAGTGTTGATAGCTTTCTATAGCACTGCCTTGTTTTTTTAAAAAATCTTATGTATATGTTCTTCTAAAAGTAAGGACTCACATTAGGTATCAATGCTGTTTTCATCTTTTTTTATCTCTGGAAAACAACATAACCCTATCCATCTTACAGTCCAGAATACAAATCTGAAAAATGCTATAAAAACTAAGACAACCTTAAGCCTAGTAGATAGCTCCTCATTGCTGTATATTTTAACTCATGTCCATTCCAATCTCTGTATTTTGGTCATGTCATTTAAATATTAACAAAAGTTTGAACTGTTAACACTAGGTTCACAATACAAACATGATTATACTATAGACAACACCCATACTCATTGTCTTTTAACTCAAGTCAATATTAAAATATATTCCTTGGGAAATAAACATATACACTTCAGTTAGAAGCTATAATAGCAGCATTAAAGTACTATCACAAAACTCCAAATGGCATGCATGAAATAAACATTTTATATGCAGATAAGGGTTGAATCCAGTACTTTCTTATACCTGATACTGTTCTATACATACAGTAATAAGTTTTGATGTTTTTCTCCAAGATACACAGAAAAAAGCTTTCCATTTATTGCTGAAGCAAAACAGAAATATACCAGTCTTTTGAAGAGTTCAGATAGCAACTGAAGCACCTGAGTAGGTTTTGTAAGAAAGTTTTCATGAATATATCCATATCAATGCATGAATCTAAACACTTTTTTCTTACAAAATGTGTTACTAGAAATATACCCAAATGGACATAAGTATACAATAGCAAAAGCTTTAAGCTCCACTTAGATAATTTTTGATTAAAAAATAGAAGGCAAAGTGTTCCCAAAGTTACATTAAGAAAAGCTTTTACAGTATAATACTAAGACAGTCACAAAGTTAAGAAAATACTGATATCAAAGGTACAAACACAGTATCAATAAACAAAAATATCATACAAGGGAAATCTTGTACAGAAATAAAATGCATTTGCATCTCCATGTGCCCCCAATGGCAGCCACAATCAACTCTTGGTCATTTTGCCATCTGTAGGAATCCTCAAGTTGTAAATGATCAATTTTCTTAACAGTCTGATGTTCAACTTCTAACTGGCTTCTGCTTATGAGATTCATCACTGCATAATTTCAAAATAATGCAAGATGGCCATTATATGCTGAGGCATGAAAACATAGCCAGTGTAAAGTGCCATTCCAATAATAGACACTAACATGGAATCTGAATGAAAGTAAAGGAAAGTATAATAATACAGAAACAGCTACAAAAATGCATTGCAAATGTTTGAGCCACATCTCAAATGATATGGTAAAAATATTTAAAATGCAATCTTACTCATATTTACTGAAATCCTATGAAGTTAAATGATTTTTCATGTAGAGACAGTACAACTGAGCATAACTGTAAAAATCCTTTGATTGGTCTGAATCAACAAACGCTATTCAACTTCTCACTGCAAAGCATCAGGTAAAAGCTATGTACAAGCTTTCTCAACTATGGAAAGGAAAAGTGACTAATAATCAGATGCTTATTTTTTATTTATCAAATTTATATAGCCTCCCATCTCACAAGAAGTGACTCTTTTGTTTGTAAGAGATTAAGAACTAGGTTTCAGAATTAGTTAAATTTAGTGGTTATTCTCTTCAGATTCAATATAATTTCTTCCCTAACAGCAACCTAGCAATACATTGATAGGAATATTTGGACACAAAGAGACTCAGTAAGTGGGTGTGGATTACAGAGCATGTTTACAGAACAGTAGCAATTAGGACATACTGTATCAAATTTCAGAAGAGAGGTAAATACATCCACCATTCCTCCACTTTTCTCTTTCAAGATTTCTATAAGAAGGGAAGAAAGATGAGTAAGTAAGGCTCTTTTCTCCTGTGGAATCCTTGAAACATTTTGTAAAATATGGAGGAAGGTTACACTGGATTGAGCAACTGAAGAGGGAGTGGATACTGCTTTGCAATAGCCCAAATTAGGCTGGACAATTGTCAGTTCTGACCAACGAAAGTAATTCCAAAGAGTAAGAGATGGGATCCAATGTCAATTTTCTATTGACAGGACAATTTTCCTCAACAGAATTGGAAAGGGTTGATACACCTCTCCCACAAAATCTGCTCTGAAAGCTTGGGGAAGAAACACTTCCCCAAGGAAGTGGGGTAGGAGTACATTTGTTTGTGGTAGGAGCACATTTGTTTACATAGGGCTTAGCACATTCATGCCAAAAACCATATTATTAGTTTCATTGTTTACCAGTAAGCAGTAACAAGGTGGGAATGTTTCTAGTCATCAGAACAAGTGAATCCAAAAGGTACACCAAGTAAACATGAATTTGTCTGGCCAAATTGTGTTATCAGCTACAGTGTAGTACAAACACTATTCTATGAGAAACTGAGCTAGCAATATTACATAAAAATACAACTGGCAAATAGAAGTTACACCAATGTCTCCGCACAGGTTTGTGACAGCAAGGAACATATGTTACAAGATACATTTCAAACAAGACCATGTTGCAGTATCAAGAGTTATTTAGATGAAAACAAAAGAGCATTGTTGTAGTGTAATTGTCATTTGGATTTAGTTTATCTGCAAGATTTTCTCACTTTCTCCATGGATAGATCATAGAAAGTAAGAGAAAGGATCATTTGCAAGGACTAAGATATTCTATATAAGGGTCCTGAATAATGAGTCTACAATTTATTTAGAAACGTAGCTATTAAATATTAGCAGGTGGCAAGCCCCACTTTAAAGAACCATTATCATTCCTCTGAAAGAAGGGAATTGTTTCTGCATGGAAAGCCAATCAAGTACTATATTCATTCCAAGGCTAAGAACAGAGTGGTACATGGAGATAACATATACAACATAAAAAAGAATTTATAAAATGAAATTGATTATAAAAATAAATTGATTATATTGGATTTAATTTTTTTATTTTATGTTTTGTATTTTATCTCCTCCATATACCACTCTGTCCTTAGCCTTGGAATGAATACAGTACTTGATTGGTTTATTATACTGGATTTATATAGCACATATAAATCACATATGCTAATGTAAATCCTTAGTAGCATACCAGCTTAGAAACAAAGATTTGATCTCCTACAATTCAATGTGTAAGTTTAATGGGTAGAGAACAAATAACTTTCATGAATATCAGCTACTGTGATTTTACTAAAAAGCTCAATTTATTACTTATTAAATAACCCATCTTTCCTGCAGGAGCTGAAGGTGGCATATATAGTACTCCCTCCTACAATGTTTCCCACCCCCTAAGCAAACCTCTGTGAAGTAGACTGTGCAACTGATCCAAAGTCACTGAATGGGCTTCCATAGCTGAAGAACTACATGAATCTAGGTCTCTCCAGTCCTAGTCAATCCTTAATCACTACACCACACTGGCTGTTACTACACTGAGCTTATAGAAAACCTTCAGTTATCCCATCAATTGTAAAAGGATAAAGTGTACATTGTCTAACTTCTGCCTTTAAAGATTTTGGTCAAACTATTAAAAAACTTTATTTTAACAAAATATAGTCATAATATCGTCAATTGTTCTGAGCACTTATTAACAATAAATATACAATAAGACTAAACTAAATTAAGGGGTATTCTGAGGACAGGCAAGAAAATCAAGGAATTTTGAAAGATGCAACAGATATCATGAACTGCATTCATAATGTAACAGAAATCTACAGCACGTTTTTAGACACTTAAAAAGCATATGATAGGTTGAAATGGCCACAAAAATATGTAAGAAAAATCTAGATTTGGAATAAGGTTTTTAAAAATTATAAATTCTGACTGAAAAACTTCACTGATACTGAAACTGCATATATCTATCTCCACAACAACCCTGTGGGTAATATAGACAGAAAGAAAATTGTCATCCAAACAATTGTTTATTTCACCCAGTGAGCTCCACAATCAAGTGGAGATTTGAATCTCTGTCTTTGTCTCCCTGTCCTAAGTTCAATAATCATTATGCTACTCTGGATTGATATCTTAAATGAAATAATTGAAACCGGAACAAAAGAACAGATTGGACTACCTTAAAAATCAACATTAATATGTAACTTAGAATATGTATAGTCCAATGACTCTGTTCAGTTTGTGGGTTTCTTTTTGCCATTATGAAATAGCATGTTTACTAGATAGATTTTTGCTTTGTTCCTGAACATCACCGTTTATGGTATTTGCATCGTGTCAGTTCTGGAGATCTATATACCAACCTAGAAAAATCAGAAAATTATCAGATTCATTCTCTACATCAGAATAAATGTACCAGAGAGAAAAATAGAAAATATTTATATATTTTATATAAACAAAGATTCAGTTTGGTGTAGCGGTTAAGAAATTAGCCTATAAACTAGCAGACTGAGAGTTCTAGTTCTGCCTTAGGCATGAAAAACTGGCTGCATGACTTTGGGCCAATTACTCTCTTTCAGCCCAACCCACCTCATAGGGTTGTTGTTGTAGAGAAACTAGAAGGAGGAAGAAGTATTGATATGTTTGCAGCCTTGAGTTGTATATGGGGAAAAAAAAAGGCTGGATAGTATATGTGTGTATGTATATGTATGTGTGTGTATATATAATATACTGCTAATGAACAGAAAAACGGATTTCATTAGGCATCCACAACAAAATGTATATTGCAGCCAAAGTTAAAACAAGTAAGACCACAGAAATAACCTACCACTGAGAGCAAAACAACAAAAAATCTAATGGATAGAAGGTATAGAAACTTTAACTTGAACAATATTTTTATATTATTAGCAGCAGCAATATTAAAACTTACTACTTGAAATGGGTTAGCAAGAATATTAAGCTTGAAGTAAAGTTGGTTATGTACTAAAATTTGCAATGCATTTGACATAAAATGTGTTTCTATTCTCAGTCCAGAGATTGTGCATGCAGTTATCTATCTGCTATACTGAAACAATAAATATGTGCATGGTTATCAGTAATGATATATGTACTTGCTGATTAAGAAAACTAATTACAAGTTGCAATTTTGAATATGTGATATATCCAAACAGAACATGGGGGGAGGGGGCAGGCCAGTTGGATATGCCATCTGTGGATTCAAGGGCACTGGCTAAAGAGAAGGCAGTGCTGGGAAGATTGGCAGGCAAGCAAGCAAGCCATGGCATAGGCCAAATGGAAGAGAGGAGCATTGTCCTATTTGCCTCATAAAATTCCCCTCAGAATTTGCCTTTAACTCTAATGTTCTACGATCTGGCCTGGCCAAACCACAAGCAAAAAACCAAACCAAACCTAACCACTTTAGCCAAACTTCCAAGCCATAATGTGTTTGTTGTAGGGATCACACAAATGATACTATTCGGCACTTGCATCATGTCATCTGACACAAGGGCATAAGCTGTATTACATGCCCTCCTTTTCTCCCCTGCAGATGCATGTGTCTGTACCTAGGTACTAATAATGGGTATGTAATATTTCTGAAATAAAAATCAAATTATTTAAATTATACAAAACACACTATTTCTTGAAGTTGTAGAAAAGCTGTTGTAAAATGTACTTCTTCATACTATCAGTGGCAAACCTGATTTAAATCGGAGATACTTGAAATAAATGTCAGTAAGAGGCCATCCTAAGCACACATAGTTTATCAAACAAGGTTTTCAGCCCTCCAGTTCTGGGTTACTAAGGTCCTTTAGCCAGCCATAAAAGTAGAAGACACAATACAAACACTAAACAAACAACCCTTAGAAACACCTCCCCTCTTAACAAAGAATCTATCCTAAGTAGTTAAGGAAAGGGGTTGGCTTTCAGAAAAGCCTGAAAATGGCTTCAGTTTCCACCTTTGTGTCTCCCTTTTAATTGCCAAATCCTAGATTTACCCTGAGGTACCTAAATTGAGAAAACTAAAACAGTGCAAATACAGACAATGCCTTTAGAAGTAAAATACTAGACACTAGTGGCAAATTTTCAAGATAGGGTGGGGAAAGAAAAATGATAAATGAAAACATAATTATCCTAAAAGCACATTAAGCTTAGCCATGGCCTTCTTCCCAGGAAGGAGTAGGACTAAGGTGACAGCCCTGAGATGCAATCAGACCTGAATTGTATCTGAGCTTTACTCCGCTTCCACTTAACCACAGCACAAACATTCTTAGTTGTACTGTTGTTAAAGTACTCCTCCCCATTCCAACCCCCAAGAACAGTCTTAAAAGATAAAAATATTTATGTGCTATGCCTTAGGATTACAAACTCTCTATTAAGCTTTGTTACCCAAAAGTCCTGACTGGGTCAAATACATTACGAGGCAGGTAATCAGGCGGCAGCAACGCCTCAAAACCGAGTAAATAAAGGCTGAAAACAGAACAGCAAGGGAGGCAGCGAATTGCACGCCGGTGGTTTTCTGCCTTCTGCGGAGCACTTCCACTCAGCAACAGGCGAAACCTTTCTAATCAAGTGGCGCACCTACAACGCCCCAGAGCAGCTTTCTCGCCTCAGCCAAGGCCGCCGCCCCTCCCATCCGCGCTCCCGAGCCCAACCCGGCCATGGCGACGCACATTCGGTTTAACCGGAACTTTCCTGACGGAGCCAGGAATCTTTCGACCTGGGGAGAAAAAACGACGAGTAAAGGATACTGAACACCGTCCGCTCCCACGGCTCCAACATGTAGAGGGCCGTCACCAGGAGATACTGGTAATAAAGCCACGACATTCGTTTCCAGGCTGAGCTGAGCGCCATCTCCCCGGAACACCTCAGTACGTAAGAGCGCGGATCCGAGGCCGAGGGGAAGGACTCTTTGACGCCCAGTTTCTTCGCGGATTGGCTGATCCGCTTCCTGCCATCCCACTCCTGTTCTTTGCCCGGACGAGCAACGCCTAGCGGCGGGATCCTTGCACCTAGTTTTCAATATCTTTTTCAAGGCCTTCATTGCTACCCTACTAACTACTAGTCTGAGGCATATTTCTTGACTGCTGGTTCTTTTACTGTTGACAATCAGTCCTAAAAGGCAGAAATTATCTTCCATTTCAATGTCTTCATTGTCATTTCTTAGGCTGGTTGCTACTATACCTAATGTCATTAGTTTGGTCTTCTTTATATCTTGGTCCCATTTTTTTCATTGTGCTCCTTTACTTTTATTACTAGGGCTTGCAGATCACGTGTATTTGCAGCTATCAACATAGTGTCATCAGCACAGTGCAGATTATTAATATTTCTTCTTCCAGTTTTAAAACCAGATTTGTCTTTTTCCAATCCAGCTTCCTTCAATATATATTCTGCATATAGGTTCAATAAATAAGGAGAGAATATATGTCTATCTTACATCTTTGCCAACCTGGAGCCAGTCTGTTTCACTATATTCTGCATGAGGAACAATGAGATGTTCTGGGATTCCCATTTTCCTAAGGATATTCCACAGCTTGATGTGGTTAACACAGTCAAATGCCTTTCTGTAGTCAATGAAGAACATTTTGCCTTCTTTTTGCTTTTCTTTGGCTTTCTCCATTAACCAGCATGTATCAACAAGAATGTTTTTTTGTTCCTCAAAAACACTAAAGACTTTTTTAAAAGACTAGAAACTTTATATGGACTTTTTTTAAAAGAAAAGACTGAACTGATGATTTGTGGATTTGGGAATTAAAAAGGCTTAAAGAGGAAAGAGAAAGGGTAAAATGGCAATTACTTGATAGAAAGAAGGGTGGAAGTCATAATTCTATGTTTTCTTTCTTTTTCTTCTTTTCTTCTTTTTCCTATTTTCTACCTTCTTTTTTCTTATTTCTCCTTTAATTTTTTATACTTTTATTGTATTGAAAAATTCTAATAAAATATTTTTTTAAAAAAATGTTTCTTGTTCCTCAACCTTTTGTAAATCCAATTTGAACATCTGGCATCACTCTTCCCTTGTAGGGATCTAATATGCATTGGATGTGAAATTAAGGATGTTGTGCAATAGTTTGCATATGTTGTTAAGTTTCCTTTCTTTGGTATTGGTATGTAGACCGACCTTTTTCAATCTGTTGGTCACTGTGTTGTTCTCCACATTTGCTGGAATTTAGTTAGAACCTTTACTGATTCTTCTTCTGTTGCTTGTCATATTTCTATAGATATTTCATCAATTCCTGTAGCCTTCTGTGAGAAGGCAGGGAGAAGTGAGAGCCTCAAACGAACCATGTTTGC